GGGCTTCGGAGCGGCCGGCCCGAGGGCTCCGAGTCCCCGCCGGCTCCGAGCCCGGCGCCGGGCGCCGTCCTCACCTGCGCGCTGGGGAGATCGGCGCTGCCAGCGGCTCTTTCGCTCCTCAGCTGGGTCGAAGCCCCTCGGCCTCCCAAGTCTTCAGGTTTAGTCAGGCCTTGGCCCCGCCTCTCCCCTGTCGGGCCTCGGCGTCAATCACCCGGCGTGGCCCCGCCCTCCCTCCAGGCGGCTCTCCCGGTTGGCCCGCAGCACCCTTCATGACTAGGCTCCGCCCCTTTCCCTGGCACTCTGCCCCTTCCGCCGCGCCCCGCCCCTTCCCTGGCTCACCCTCCCCCACTCCCGCTCCCCTCCGCTCCGCCGCCCACCCCGCCCCGAAACCGCAGAGGGTGGGCGGGCTCATTGCCGCTCGTCCCGCCCCTAGCTCGACACTTTGCAGGCTTACAGCCAATCAAGGAGGCCAGCTCTGCCTCCTCGGGCAAGCTGGCCAATGAGGTGAGGCCGAGGGCACACCCGCCCCTTCCCAGCTGAGCACACACAACACAGCATCCACGTGAGTCAGCTTCTTAAAGGCGACACCTCCGCCTGCCTAATTGCCGCAGCTGGGACTCGGTGCCAGTCATGGGCGGGCGGGCGGGCGTCGCCAGGTGGCGGCTGGGGCCTCAGCTTCCTGATAGCCAAGGAAGCCTGGAAGACGCGAAAACAACAGGCTGTTTTCTAGGCAAAACAGGTATTTAGGTTAAAATGCACCCTAGGTTGAAATGCTCGTTTTATTATTTCTTCCCTTTACCTTACACAGAGTTACCTTTTACGAACAAATCCCCGACTCTCGAGTCTCAGTATGTAGGAATTCATGGACTAGGAATGTTTTTTTTCTCAACGTGCTCGATTTTATTTACAACTCCATAACTTTTCTCTTGGCCATGGAAGTAATGCTCAAAAATGTCGGTCTTTGATGTGGAGGTGATGTCTTGTGAATCTCGAGATCTGTTGAAAAGGATCGCTGTTCCCTTTGCCCTCACTAGTGTTTTAAGTTGACAGATTTTTGCCATTTCATTGGCTTTCCCAGGTAATAAATCTCTTGACTGACTGTGAAGATAACAAAAATATTTGGTCATGTCTGTTTCTCAAAAAAAATTATAAAAATATGTAATATATATACAAATATAACATAAAGAGCTAGTGTGTGTGTATATATATATATATACACATAAAATTTCAAACTAGTATAATAGTATTACACACACACACACACACTAGCTTGAATTTAGTTTGCATAATGGAATAGGTGTCCTGAAGAAAACTCTAATAGTTAACTCCTTAATCCTAAATCCTCCAGTATTTCATTCACTTAAAAAAAAACTTACCCTGGCCTGCTTTGTAGAAAATACCTTTAACCCCTGCTCACAAGGAGGCAGAGGCAAGGGGATCTCTGTAAATTTGAAGCCAGCCTGGTTTATATAGTGAGTTCCAGGACAGCCAAGGCTACACAGTGTCTCAAAAACAAAGTTGCTCTAAACATCAACAATAAAGGACTATCCTTGGATAAATGAGAATTTTGCAGGAGAAAAAAAATTCACTTAAATATATTGGGAGTTCTCATCATTCCTTTATTTTTATTTTGCTTTCATACAAAACTTACATTTAGAGCTGTGCACACTGTGCGCATTACATGGTTGTAATCTTGGCACTCTGGAAAACCGAAGTGAAAACAGTGAAACTCTGCCTTAAATCAAGGTGCTATTTATCACAGGAAAGGACACTGCCTCATCCCCGCCCCCCCAGTGTTTGGAAACAAGTCCAGGGCCTCACACACTAGGCAAGTACTTTGAAACTAAGTTACATCCACCTCCCCTTTTTGAAATGCTAGACTGAGACACATCCAGTTATATTGCCCTTCCTGGTGACTTGATTCCACCTCACTGCTGCTGTCCTGAGTAGCTGGGCTCACAGACTTGTGCCACCACCCCAGCGTGCTGCCTCATTTCCTAAGAGGCTTCTGTCTTCCGTTGACAATTTCGAAATGGATATGGTTGGGAACATAGCATACTTTTTCAACTTAATTTAGCAACCATGGTCAGTCTCTTTTAATTTTATTATTTATATGGATTTGTATCTTCATATAGACCTGTCGGTCTGGGTGCTGGAGGAGGTCAGGGAAGGTGTCAGATCCTTGGGAACTGGAGTTACAGGCAGTTGTAAACCATTCAACATGGATGTTAGTAACCTTGGAACTCATGTCCTCTGCAAAAGCATCAAGTATTCTTAACCATTGAGCCATCTCTCTCTCCATCCCTGATCATTCTTTGATATCAAATGTATTTTTATCTACACATTTACCTTTGTCTCTATAATATTCTGGCACGCCATTAACATCTATTATTGAGTTTTTCTTACTGATGGACATGTAGGTTATCATTGATAAAACAGCGAGTGTTTCTAAATATCATAATTTGGAAAAGAAGTACAGTGCCTAAGCCACAGGAAAGAACAACTTTAAGAACTACGTAAAAGGGGAAATAATGGAGAGTCTCCTGCCCTCCCCCATCTTCTTCAGATGGGGTCTCTGTTAGGATCCTGCCCTCACTTATGCACATGCGCAGCTCGGCGTCTTGCGTCTTATGTCATTAGGGGGCACTGGCGACTATGTACGTGCCTTAAAAAGCCGGACGCAGACCCCACACTCTCTCTGTTCCCTGCTCTGCTGCCCGCCCCCCATCTCTCTCTCCAGGCTTGGCTCTTCTCTTCCTCCCCTCCCCACTCCCCCTACCCCCGTTTCCCTCCTAATAAAGCTCTAAAAACTAACACTGGGTTCTGTCATGACCATGACCTTTCCACACAGTAGCCAGTGCCACAACCAGCTCCAATTATCATCCTTTCATTGATGCTGTGATTTGGATCTCACTCTGTAGAGAGAACTCACAGAGATCCGCCTGGCTCTGCCTCCCTAGTGCTGGGATTAAATAGGTGCGCCACCACTGCCCCTGTGTAGCCCTGGCTATCCTGAAACTCATAGAGATCCACCTGCCTCTGCCTTCAGAGTGCTAGGATTAAAGGTGTCTGAGTTTTTAAGTCACTAAATCTAAATTTGATAATAGTAAGGTAAGTATTGTTTTCATCCTTATTTTATCAATGATGAATTAACTAATTACAGTACTTACCCTGACCCAGCTCACCTGATACAGTTATGAAATACAGTATTTATAAACTTTAAGGAAGATGGAAAAATCCCATCTCTAAAGGTTGATCTGGATGGTGTGTCATGCCTATTTTGAGTACCAGGGAAGTGGGACCAGAAGGAACTAAAGGGATAGTTCATTGTCAGCACAGATGGATGCACAGGTCTCCCAGGCCCCAGCTTCCAAGATGATAAAAAGAGAACAGTGGCTGTTCCAGAAAAGGCTGCAAGCAGTCTTATTCACTTCATGAATTGCTCCTGGTATGGGCCCAGAGTCAAGACCATTAAGAAGTTGGTTATTTGAAACAGTCATGGCCGCAGCTGTCCGAGACATTTCAGAAGCAAGTGTCTTCCACATGCTTCCCAAGATCGGTGCAAAGCCAGATTTCTGCCGGAGCTGTGCCATTCCCAGCACGACATGATGAAATCTCAAAGAATGGAAACCCTACACTGGTTAGACCTGCTGCTGCTTCCCCACCCCCTCCTTCCACCACAGCCCATGGAGCCGGATCTTTAAGGACAGAAGAGAAACTGTCTTCTTGGGGGTGGGGAGCGGGGTGGAGGAATAGCTCAGGGGTAGAGCATTTGCCTAGCTTGGTTGAGCTTAGCCTTAAGGTACATGGACTGAGAAAGGATAGCCTAAAATAAATCCGTACTTTAATTCTAATAAAATACAATTAAATATAATGTAACAAAATGAAAGGGGGAGGGAAAGAGGATCGAACTATATCCCATGGAATTTGGCTGCAGTAGCTTAGAATAAATTGATATTTTTTTATTATATTTTATTTTATTTTTCAGAGCTGAGGACCGAACCCAGGGCCTTGAGCTTGCTAGGCAAGCACTCTACCACTGAGCTAAATCTCCAACCCCATAGTTTATTTTTTTAAAGATAAATCTCTTGTAGCTCAGGCAGTCCTCAAAATTGCTGTGTATCTGGGAGTGACCTTGAACTCCTGATCCTCTTGCCTCTACCTCTCAGGTGCTGAGATTACAGCTACATGCCGTGATGCCA